CGATTTTGTAATCAATATTTTTAACTATTTTGTTAGCGATATCTTTTATCGATTTTGTTATCGATATTTATCGATTTTGTTATCGATATTTATCAATTTTTTATCATTATCTATCGATTTTGTTATCGATATTTATCCCGATTTTGTTATCGATATTTATCGATTTTGTTATCGATATTTATCGATTTTGTTATCAATACTTATCGATTTTGTTTTCGATATTTATAGATTTTGTTATCGATATTTTTGTCGGTTTCGTTATCGATATTTTGTTGGACGTTATTATCGATTTTGTTATCGATGGAGTATAAAGATAAAAATTAAGATGATGGAAAAACAGAATAAAATGAATGTTATTAAAATGAACAAGGGTAGAGGTGGGGATCTAGATAGAAAAGAAGAAAAAATATAACCTTAAGCAAAAGCAGATGTGTGTATGTATACATTGGTTATGAGACAAGTAGATAAGTACCTAACATAAGATTCACTTCTCCAGTGTGGCCCAGGCGCACTTACTTTTTTCTTTAAATTTGTTGGTTTGAAAGTGATAATCTGAACTGAAAAAACCCTTGCTTCGTAATTCGTGAATTAAAAATCTTTATCAGCATGGGAATTTTCTACTCGTTAAGTCGTTACTAACACATTTACTATTCGTATAAAAAAAGATTAGTTAAAACTGTTTGCATTTCAGGTGACGATATGTATGTACATATGTATGTATTTATTTATGTTTTCTATTAATATTAATTATTTGTTTGGACTCTGGTTCAATGAACCCGCGTTAGTGTAATCTCTTCAGAATATTAATAATAACTTGTAAATAAACTACCATGTAGTCGTCAAGCCTTTGTCTTTTCGAAAACCAACAACGTCAAGCACATACAATTTTACACAAATATGTTTTTACGTATTAAAAGTTGGGCGAGTAGACATTTGGGAGCCGTAGAAATAAGTTTGCAGCCGTCCATTGTTGGACTAGATCATCATTAAAATGCGTTTAAAGATTCTTATCTCAGCCATAAATAAATGACTTTTAAAAAATTAAAAAACCTAAATAAATAAGGGAACGTTTTTATTTCAATCGTAAGTTAGATCAGATGAAGGTTCTTGACCCAGACAAAGCGTTGCGGTGACCGATTTAGTGAGATGTTCGCTTTAAAGCAGTAGGCGTTCCTCAAAGCAAAGCCTTGCCACCTTACGAGAATATGTTGAAATGAGGTAACCAATGGTATTCCCACGTTTCTCGGAGAGAAAAGACCATCTGAGGTGTACATTTCTTATTTATTTCGTCAGCCATTATGAATCGGTACCTATATCAGAGCCACTAGAAAATATCCCGAAACGGCCAAATGAGAAGAGAGCCTTGTAAAAAGGAGATGACAGCTGAGGAATCACTTGAATCATCAATACATTAGCTAAGAGGCCAAAAATATAGCCACAAGCAAGTCGTCTGCAAATCTCAAAAGAGTTATTGGTCTTCATTGTGAACAAAGAAAGAATAAAATTCGCTATAAATAACTTCTCTCCATATATGTAAGTCCCAGACGGCAGCATACCAAAAATGTATAAAGAATTGCCATCATTCTCAAACCGGGAATAATTTCGTACCAATAAGTCGTATATCCTTCTTCCTAAGGATACTGGAGAGATTGTTAGTTTTGCACATAAGGCATTGGCGGACTTCGTGTCAATTCGGACAAAACGGAACTTATACCGTTTACTGAGAAAAAAATAATACAACAAAACTTCCTCCCTTTAATGGAACGACTTTTACATTGTCCTCTGACGTGAAATACTGAAATCATATGAAAATATATTAGGGTGGTCCAAAAATTCTCAGAAAATCAACTTTTTGGATTTTTTTTTTGCTTATATGCCTTAATTCTATGTCTTACAACAATCGGGGCAGGAGTCAGGTAGGAAGGCCTAAGCTCATAGATTAGAACCACCTGAGCCAACTTCTAACTACCCTCCTTTAAGGTATGTGGTAGTATCCGTTTTCACTGACAATGCTCCATGCGTTGCACAGTGTTTCGACTATATGAAGGCAGGTAGGAAAAAGTCAAGACAGTCGATAAAAAAAAAACGGTTGGACTTAGAGAGGGAAAAGTAAAAGTCATAAATACCAAATTTTACATTATTTAGTCTGCCCCTTCTTCACGAACGATACATTTCCAAAAAAATACGGAAATGGGCGCGATACCGACTAATCAGTTTAGTGGTCTTTGGCGATTAACCCATTAAAGAAAGTGTTTTTTTTTTCAACTGTAATCAATTACTAAAATGTCGTGGAATATTCAGGTGAAGGTATTTATCATTTATTTGGTACTTTCGTATTTTCTTACCAACAAATTTACTTAGAAATGTAGATGCTAAAGATTATAAGTAAAAAAAAGTGTGAGTACGGGTTTGTCAGGTCTTGAAAATAGATGAATGTTTTAAATAATTTTATGTAGTTTTCGAATATATAATTTGATCTTTGCGCGCGACTTTGCAAATATATGTAATTTCTCATTTTCTTAATTTTTGATTTTCAGCTTATTTTTGCATAATTTCCCGAAATTTTTCTAACAATGAAAAAATCTCACCAAGCATTGGGAAAAAGCGAGTATTTACACCTAAGTAATTTTATAGTATACGCTTTTTTTTGTGAGTTTTGGACGTTATAGTGATCCAATTTTCCCCATATTTTATATTTAGGTTTTTCAAATAAAATAAAGACCACAAACTAAATTTCATCGAAATCGGATGAAATTTAATGTTTCCGCCCACAAGCGTAGAGGGCGTGGCAATTATTCCATCTTTACAAAATTTCATAATTCTCTATTTCTAAGTAAAACTAGAGCACATGTCAAGTTTCAGTGAAATCGGTGGAGGTGTACTATAGTCGAAACACTGTGCGTTGCTTTCATCGCTTTTGAACTGTTCCCATCAATTCTCGAACTTCAAAGAAATAAACTCTAATTTGCATAGTGAATAATTTTCAAGTTTTCGATCTCTCACCAAGAATGCGCCACAACTATGTAGCTTATAGGCGCTCACCACCCACACCTAGACCGATATCAACTGAGCAACCGCCCTTTTAGCTCTCTGTGGATAAACCTGCGTTGGCATATCTAAAAGGTGCACACGTACATAAATAACTAATACACGATTATATAATTTTCTATATATACTTGTATAAAAAAGTATGTATGTATTCATACATATATGTATGTATGTATGTATGTATGTATAAGTGTTCACAGAACAACTACCGGCATACTAAGTGCATTTGAGATACTTTAATGCTTTTCTGCATTTCAAATACATATGTATGTGTATATATGTGCAACAAATACATACAAATGGCTACCAGTGTTGCCGTTTAGATATTTTCCGGCTAGATTTTGCTTTTTACAAGCTTTTTTTGGGTTTAGCCGGAAAAATCCTGTTTAGCTTCTGGCTTTTCTCTTAGATTTTTCTTGAAATTAGTTAGCTTTTTACTTTTGCTCGAAATATTACCTGCAAATTTAAATATGTAGTGTTAAAATGTTGAATGCAATTTTTAGTGTTAGTTAGTGCAAGGCGCCAGAATCAGGCAGAGCTGGCAATACGGAATCAGTCGAATGCCTGATAAACTGCTCGACTTTGGCAAGGGAATTTACCCCGGTTAGACTCATTTGGCTACTAGGCCATATTGATATTGCAGGGAATCGCGTTGCAGAGAAGTTGGCCAGAAAACGTACCCTCGAGTTGTACTCACCGAATACAGAGTGGGAACACTTTTTCTTTGGTAAGTTTATCGGGAGGATACTAAACTATTGTTTTTCACGCGATGGCGCTTAATATTCAACCGAATCGTCACTGTTTCCAGAAAAATTAGGTGGAATCAAAACTTTGTCTTAAGGTGTCTAGATTTTGTGATGCTACGAATATTTAATACACACTTGTTGTTCCCCACTAGTAGGGTTGCCAGATTTTTTTTTGTGCGAAATTAGTACGTTAGACCTTTTCATGCTATAAAAATTACTACTTTTCAGTACACTTTTATTCTAAGGGAAATTAGGAATGTAAGTAAGGCTGCATTCCAAAACGTTAAAATACAAAGCATCAGTCACTTTTATTTCTAAACCGAGAGTAGTATTGAAAAAAAAACAAGAGTACATTTTTTTTAACTGTGGAAATGTACCACTATTTAAAGACTTCATTAATAATTCCTCGTGGCTTAAATATTTTTTCAACTGCGCAAAAACTTTGAAAGGCTAAGAGTTCACTAAAAAGAGTATCTAACCCCATGTCTTGTATGCAAAACCCTTTTACACTGTCAATAAATTGAGAAAAAATAATTTTGAGTTGCACGCATAAGCCGTTCAGTTATTTAAATCTGTTGTTATTAAACTGAAATTTTTTTTCGAGATAACTAACAACACCCGACAAAAAAGCACCAGCCCTATTTTTAAATAATTTATACTCCATCAAATTTTCGCTATTGGTTCGTAAGCCTCGGTGATATGCCCACAAAACGATTGGCCTTTTTATTGTATTAATTTCTTGCGCATATCAAACATTATATTAAATATGTCAACTACATTTAATTAAATTATTTTCTTCTTAGTTTTTTTTACTGGTGTGTAAAACCCTTAAAAATTGCTAAAGTATTTTATTTGTCTAAAATAACATTACACAAAGAAAATACATGGGAAGAAATTACCGAGCACCGAGTTACTGAGTACCAAACACGGTGGTACAAATGGTGGTATTACAAATTTGTATGCTTAGAATTGAAAATTTAGTATAAATCAAAACAATCGACAATCGTCTGTAAGTAAAGTAAGACAAAGACGAACGATCGAGTTACGAAATTGCAAAGAGAAACGGTGACGAATCATTCGTGCGGCCTATCGTACGAGATAGATAAGAAGGGTGCTAACCTTTTCTCTGAAAAACTTCTGGCAACACTGATGGTCACAACTAGCTTTGGAGCCGAACTATAAAAGCAACTATGCAGCGAACAAGGTGGAATGAAACAAACTCCAGAATTGACTAAAGTTCAGACAGTAAGCTATTGGAGGAGAGCAATGGCAATGAGCTGAGCTTAGGGCCAACGAGACTTGGTCATTTACAGTTCGATTGCTGGCGAAGACGGATGCAAGCAGTAAAGCCGTAAAGACGTGAAGCCGTGTTTTGCAGTCCGTGTTGGGGGAAAACTTATACGAAAGTTGACGCGACCGTGGTGAAGTTGAAGTGAAGTTGCGTGAAGGAAAGTGAAGTGGAGTGGAGGTGTATTGAAGCCGCCGCCGGAGTGATTATAGTGAAGTGAGTGTGGGCGTATATGTATATGTATGTATGTACATATGTATGAATGTGTATGAGAGATATGCGTTCTATACGACAGCAATTGCCATGCAGCAACAGCAACGTTAATCACAATTTCATTTAAATGAATAAAAGTGCAACAATAACAAAACAAGCGAGTATAAAGTAATAAGGGCTGCATAATCAACAAATTATGACTAACTGCTAGTAAAGTCTGTAGACAGACTTCGATTGTCAGGCGACTTGCCGTCAACTTTTGATGTACTGTATGTATGTACATATGTATGTATATGTACAAGTGTTTGCGACAATAGCGAGATCGCAGTGCGTAAGTAGCCAAGTGTGGAGCTCATATAAACTAAATGTATAATAATAATAAGCTGCAATTACCGCGACAAAAACAGCACTAATAAGCGTATACAATTCTTATAAGTGCTATCACAGAAACCACAACAACAATAGCAAAATAACAAAGAGTTCAGAACAACAGCACAGAAGATTAAATGCGTAAAAATATATTTAAAGAAAAAAATTAAAAAAAAAAAATCAGAAAAACATAAGAAAAAGCTTATGGAAAAATAGTGTAGAAAATCATCGCATCCGCCGCCAGTTTTGCCGGTCTATATTTTTTATTTATTTATTATTATTTTTTTTTATTAGTGGTCAGTGCAAGTGTGTATGATGCTCGTAGTAGGTGCGTGACGAGTGTTGACGATCAGTGTGAGCAGCAGATACTTTTTGCAAGTGATACTCTTCATATGTTGCCAGCCGGCTGGCTGATACATACGTAACGCAAATTACGCGTATGCTTACGAGAACACGCGCACACATACCCCCGCACCCAATTACCACAGAGGCACGCATGTTTGTATGGAGTCGCTTGTGCGCTGGTTTGGAGCATTGTGGGCCGCTCGATCCACCTCGATCTGTGCTGTGCGGCATTTTAATTTTTTGTCGCATTCAGTTGTTGTCTATTCGGTGCGCTTTGACGGAGGCAGCGTTGCAGCAACGTTTTTATAACGCAATTTAATTAAATTAGTGAAATGAAGTACATATTTCAAGTGTTCCTTTGGCTATGCTGTGGCTTTGAGCTTATCTCTAACTTGAATCTATTTTTCTTGAGTTGATGTGGAAGCTGGAGAATTAAAAGAAAAAAAAAGCAAATTAAATAAGGCTGTGTTAAAGGGAAAGGAAATTAATGCATACATTTGTGTTTACGAAAGCATCAGTGCGTATTCATGGTTTTGAAGTCGATGAATTCGGTTTCCTCTGAAATTGCAAAAATTAAGCAGATAAACAAGTTTTATGCGCAAATTGTGATTAATGATACTCGTAGCAAAAAAGCGAAAATAAAATAAAAAGTGTCTGATACTTAAGTTCATTAAGAATTCATTTGAAAATTAATTATTTTTACCAGTTATGCAAAACCAAAAAGGAAAAGAAAATAAGACAAAAAAAACATAGTCACGTGAAAAATAATAGGAACACGACATTTCGATCAGTTTCTTTTATTTGTTTAATGTTTATTATTATTATTATTTTTTTTTTTAATCCAGCTCACTATCTAACAAAAGCCATTTCTGTAACTCCAAATTTCAAACGTTGTAGAAAAATTCCAGAAGATTTTATAACAAGCTTTTTATGAAGATTTTTTTTCAAAAATTGTAAGTATGCAGTTCCAGTGACTAAGAATTCGCGTTGATTTGTGAACTTTTTTTTCTTGACGGGGTCACGCATTTTCTTCTTTACAATTACAAAAAAAAATTTCGAACATATCGACAGCTGAGGAGTGGAAGATCGACCTATCTCGGCAGCTAGCTCAAACCGCCCTATTTGAGAACTCGGTTCAAAAATGCCCAATCTCAGCTGTCGACTCAAAAACGCCCTATCTCAACATATTTTCAGTTGAGATAGGGCATTTGTGAACCATTTGTGAGATAGAGCGTTCTTAAATCAAGCTCTGAAGTAGAGCGTTCTTGAAAAGTTTTCTGATATAGGCTGTTTTCGAACCGGCTGCCGAGATAGGTTGATCTTCCACTAAGCCGTCGATAAGCACTTTTTTTTTAAGAAAATGCTTGATCCCGCCAAGAAAAAAATTATCAAAAATCAACGCGAACCTGAAACTTGCGCTTTATCTGGATAGAATTTAATGGGCTATAATACTGCGTGCTCCGAATTTTTGTGAAAATTCTTCATAAAAAGCTTGTTGTAAAAATGTCTGCAATTTTTCTACAAAGTTTGAATTTGGAGTAATATTAATGGGTTTTGTTAAGTAATGAGCTGGTTTTTTATACACAAACAAAAAGGTTGGTGTTGTAAAATTTGTTTAATTTTTCCTCAAAATTTGAAATTAGAACTTAAATTGTTTTTTTAGTTAAGGAGCTATATTTTTATTAAAAAAAAAATTAATAAACATTAGAAAACAAAAGGAAAGAAGTTAAAACTTGTCATAATTGCGTGTCCGTATTATTTTTCACATATATACTATATATGCTGTCGAAACTTGAAGCTTATAAAATTAAAAATTGGGGTAATAAACATAATACAGTTAAAAATGTAAAATGATTTAATTTTCTGAAAGAAATTTAAAATAAGTAAATTGTAAAAACAAATATTTTCAAATCAAGCTTTCTAAATATGAACGAAATCGGACCATAAATACTGGATTACCAAATATATCGACTCGTGCGCCACCTATCGCCAAATTTTTTAGTGGAGTTATTCCTTTTCATGTAGTTAATATACATTCTAAATATGAACCAAATCGGACTATAAATACGGAGTTTTCAAATATCTTCACTCCTGCGACATCTATCTGCTTAACTGATATTTCATATTGCATTGTCATCGGGTTCTGAGGCAACTGTGAAGCTTCAAGTCTCTAGGTCATCGGGAAGTTGGTAAAAAATTGATTGCCTCTAACAATCATACATACATACATACATATAGAGCAAGTTAAATAAAAGCTTATAAAAAGCATTAATTAACACAAATAATTACTCTCAAAGATCCTTATCGCTCTATATAAAACTCATTTCATTGTGCGGTGTATTTTTATTAGACAGTGTCCGGGATCCTACCAACCACTGAGTTAATGAAAAGGCAGTCAATAAACATAGATATGCATTTATTTATTCTCGGACTGATTTGTCTGACACATTGTTGCCACCAGGAGAATGAAAAAATATACAGAAGTGGAGCCGCCGCATAATGAGGGCCCAAAATTTTTTAAAATATTGAAAAGTTCATTTTCATGATTCTTAATCCATATCACTAGTTATTAAAATTTGCACTATCAAATAGTTCGACATAACCATTTTCAAAAGTTTGTCACACATGGCTTTAATTTGTAAAGCAACGGACACTGTGATTGAAAAATTATATTTAACTCTTTAAGAAGACAGAGCGAGCATTTCATGAAATTAAGGTATACGGTTAAGTGTCGAGATCTAAAACCTTTCAGATGCAAAATCGAATTCATCAGCCGATTGGATATGCTAAAGATAGTATGTATTTCAATTATTGAGAGAGGAAATGATAGTTTTCTTTATTGTAAAAATCGAGTGCGATACGTCAAACGTCTTTTGGCGGGTCTCAAAACTATTTGAAATGCAACATTGAAATTCTTTTAGCTCTTCTTGATGAACATAGCTTCTACTAAAATATGCACCAATCTTTAATTTCCTCACGTGCATTTTTTGACCACCCTATTCTTCATATCATGAATCACAAGCCCGAAATAAACAATGCTATTGATATTAACTTTAAGTAAACTCAAGTTTTGAATTAGAATTACTGAACTGAGGACCCAACAACTGTCGTGACCACGTTCACCCACTTTAAGAACAAATATTATTTTAATATATATTCAGCTTAATGGTTTAATATAAAGCATACTCTAAAAATTGCTACCAGAATCGTAATAAAAAACGCTGGTGATTTTAAAGGCAAAAACTCAAAGATATTTATCTACATAGGTATTTTGCCTCCAGAAGCTATTCTGCTAGATAAAGGTCCCAAAGGGATAATGCCGCATTTAGAGCAACAATCTGGAGTTCGTCGACCCTACATCCTGAAAAGAGTGATTAATTCGTTCCAATGTACTCCATCCGGTCTCCTTAGCGTCCCGGTTAGTCTTTTTATACATTTTAAAGATTACCTTGTACTGGTCTCAGACCTAACTTCTGTAACAATCGTTGAAGGGCTCACCTACTTGTTTCTTACTTGTTAATCTTTCCATAAAGGTGTGCGAGATTTCTTACCGTTTAGTAACGTGAAAGTTTTCGTAAAAGCCGCCCTGAAGGATTTATCCGGTGTAGTGTCAAATTAGCTTTTAGTGGAGGCGTCTTCAACTCAAGTTTCTTATTAATTTCTATAGAAATACATTTTTGTAATAGATTCCAGTTTGTTTTGCCACTAAAAGAGTGCTCCGAAAAAGTCGAATCGTTGGCTACTTTTTATGTACATTTTGTGATCTTGTGGCTCCGCTCGATGGAGGAGTTCATGACAACAGATTTTCAGCATCGGTGATCCTTAGTAAATTTTCTTTTCATCATTTAACCTTTATCTGCCAATTTTAGGGTTATTGTTTTTTTGACCTTGTTTGAATCAAAATCGTGTGTCTCTGGAGATTATATCCAACTGAACTCAAAAAATTCGAATCCAAATAGAAGAAGATGTGTACATTAGGGGGAGGTTTACACTTTGCACTGATGCACTCTCGGTACAGTTTTTCTGAAATATAAAATTTATTATATCTTAAAACTTCCGCCAAAATATTTCGCAAAAGTATTAAGAATTATGTGAGCTGATTCTACTTCAAAATACTTCCAAAAATCGAAATTTTTTTAAGGAAAATTAGTTTTTATAATTTTATTTTCTACAAAATCACCTGATATACATAAGTGTTTAAGCTTAAAAGGTTTGCATAAAAATGTGAGAAATTTTAGCAACGGAATCAAAATTATGAAAATTTTGAAAGTATTTTCAAACAATTAATTCTATTTATGTGAATTTTGTGTGCACCAAAACAGCTTTCAAAACCACGACATAAAATATTTGCTTACACACATTTGCATGCATAAATACATACATATGTAAATACCTCAGCAAAGAAATTATGCATTAAAAAGTTCAAATAAACGCAGAGTTCAATGAAAAAATTTTTGCATGCAATCAATTGTGATAAATTAGTTTTCTAAAATAAATACAAAAAAAGCCCAACCAATAAAAAATATAAATTAAAAAATGCAAAATCAATCGAACCGTGTCAAAATGTCATCGCCAAACAACAACAAAAACAACAGTCATCGGACTTTAAGCCGCAATCAACAACAATTTACCTACAACACGCTGTTGCTCAGCATATTTGCATTGATTTGGCCAGTCGATGGTTTCAACTTTGCAAATCAACCGAATATTGCAATTCCAGCGCCACAGCATTTGAAATTCTTCAAACCACAAACACGCAGTTCCTATTTCGGTTACACGCTGGTGATGCGACCAACGAGGTAAGTTTGGAAGTACATACCTATGTACATAGGTACATAGTATGTAATAGATACATGTGCTAGAAACCCGCATAAATAATTTGTATGTATTCTTGTGGCCACGAAAACCTTACCACCATTAAAAAAAAATATGTACAATTTTGTAAATTGATAAAAAAATTGAATTTTTTAATTTTAGTTCACATTGTAAAAAAAACTAGATAAATAAAAGTTGTAAACTTTGTAAAAAATTTTGAAAAATGCATCAAATTTTCATCAAAATTTCAAACTTTTTAAACTAATTTTTAGGAAATTTTCGGGTATACAGTTTAATAGCCAATTTAATTTTTGAAAATTTTGAAATGTTTTTTTTTTGTTTTTTTGCCGACAGTCTTGTGTAGTTTTTTTCATGTAGCGCTTTCTTTTTATATGTATGGGGAAAGTGCGCAAATCGCATAAAAAAAAAGTTGTCAAAAATCAACCAGAACTTTGAGCAACATTAAACTTGCACTGTTATGTACATATTTACCCGAAATTTTCTTAAAAATTTTCGCATTTTTCTAAATTTTTTACAAAGTTTGAAATTTTTTTGTATATAGTTTTGTAACAGAGTGAAATATATTAAATACAAATTTTTGTGAATCTACGAAATTTTACCTACTTAAAAAAAGTGATGGCAAGGTTTGTGTGGCCACAAGTGTACATAACTAGTACATATCTGTGGAAACTTTAAAGAACAACTTATGTGAAGTTTTAATTTTGCACTGAAAAATAATTCACTTTCATGCAAAAATTTGAAACTAAACAGGTGAAACCCTATTCAAAAACGTCTAAAAATATTCCTAATGATTAATCTAACCATTTCGTGAGTGTCAGTTTTCATGTAACTTCAAAAAATAAAACCTGTGCACATCTATGTAGAATCCCTGTTCTTTAATTTTACTTCTCATTTTGGAAATTCGAAATAACGTTGCTTTCTTAACAGGTGGCAACTTTTTTCGAAAAAGTAAAACCTTCTTGAACATCATCACCCTAAGCCCTTTAATTTGGTACCTCACTTTTGAAAATCGAACGGACGGTGCGGATCTGAGGGCATTGATTAGTAAATAGAAAAAATAAAACCGGTTTGCACATCTACAGGCCAAGCGCTTTAATTTGACATCTTACTTTTGAAAATCGGGCGAACGGTACAGATCTTTTACGCTGCACAAAAAATCCCTTCGCGTATTATATATATATACATAGATATAGATAGATGCCATCATAAACTTTAGCTATGGGCAGTAAATATTTTAGACATTTGATAGGAACCTAACAATTTAGTGGTTTTAAAAGAAATTGGGAAAAGCCGAATTAATTTGTTCTTCCAAATGTTCACGGATATGTTGATGCATGTGAATTCACATACTTTATGCTTTTGTATGTGGGCCAATCCATGTGAAATCGACCAATGATTGGAAACCACCATTTTTGATTTGGATTAATTTTGGTCAGACATTTTCTTTTACCATATAACCAAATTCTGCCAAATTTCACAATTTCTCGGAGTTTGCAAGTTAATTTTTTTAAGATATGAAAATCTTTTATAGTTACTGTTCTTGGTCCCTTTTAAATATTATATTTGTGGCTGTATGAAAAATTTCATAAATTAAAAATATTAGAAAAAATTCTAAAAATACAAAAAAAAACACAGAGTTTTAGAATTTAAAAGAATATTAAAAGCAGAAATTTATATAAATTTTAGGGAAAATTTTTTGTATAAAACACCTCAATTGAAAATTTCAATAAATTTTTTTTTTTTAATTTTATTGTATGAATTTTCGATCTTTGAAAACAGATTTCTGTGGAATTTATTGATTAAAAATTTGTTGAAATTAAATAAAAATTGTTTAGCTTAACTATATTAAGGGTTTGAAAAACCAAAATATTGTCAATGTTCTAAAATTGACACCTTAAAAAAACCACCGTCTAGAAAATTTCATGATCTTTTAAGATCAGTTGGAGGTATTGCATAAAAAAATTTGGCCAAACATTTTTATACGCTTTATGTTTTTGATCATAGCCATTGCCACATTTAAAACGACACCACAACCATTTTTGTAACTAGAATTGTTTTTGAGATATTAAAAAAAAACTTTAAAAAACGCGGAAATTATTAAATTTAGAATTTTATATAACTCGCAAAAAAAATTTTATCTTGCAGAACTTCATTATATCATAAAAGAAAAGTTCTGACCTAAATTCATCTAAATCAAAAATGACCTATTCCAACCATTGGTCGGTTTGACATGGATTGACCCATGCACATACATACTATATACAAACATATGTAATATTTATGTATGTAAGTGTGTGCCTCAAGCATTCAATAAATGAAAATTTGTTTAGTGTTGCCTCTGTGGTTAAATAACTTCGATTACCGATGAGGAGAATTAGTTAGTTCCCATGGTGATAGTTGAATCTTTTTTAATTTCAGTGAATATGAATATGCACAGCCTACCCAGGGACAACTAGTGCATTGCGAGTCTCAAGTCAACAAGTTTCTTCCTGAGATAACTACTTGTAAATAGTCCTAAATATCCACACATTTTTGAGGCCCGAAAAATGGTTTCTGACGCACAGAAACTTGACTTCAAAAAAATCGAAGAAGATTTGAAAAATGTTCTAAAAAAAAATCTAAAAATTAAGTCCAAAAAACTGAAAGACCATTTCAAGAGAAACGAAAACTCTGCCTACTGAACCGAAAATCGGGCCCGAAGCGCACATTGTACTGTAGGCAAAAAATTGTTATTTTTAATTGAAAACGTAGAAAATGCGTACTTAATTTTTTCCATTTATTTAAATATATTTTGGCAACTATAAACTTCTACTTTATTATACTAAAATTTAATGGGCTTCAAATCAGCGTATTTGTTCTAGAAATACTTTTTAAAAAAGCATAAAAGAACCATTATTTGAGAGTTGCTCCGAAACTTTAAGGCTTTTGGGGGACCGTAAATATTATGCGATCAGTTTAGCGTGGTTTAGTGTGTGATCATGTTACGCAAGTTTTCTGCACTATTAGCATTGCGCAATCGAAAAATTGATTTTTTGTCGTTCCAGTGATCTTATGACATATGTAACTATAATGCAATGTTATTTTGCCGAAACTGTAAAGAAACGTAATAAAACCCGTAATAAGTATTTTGTGATTAGTTCGTATTTCTGCTATGAACTTGGCTTTCTTAACCACTTTAAAGCTGAAATACATGCTGATTTTGTATTTTATTTGATTAATTTATTAGGTCTCAATTACTCCACCCTCTTTGGCATTACCTTCAAAACAAAAAAAAAGGTGAACTTCCACTTATGTAGATACGGGTATGTACACATGATTTATATGTATGTATGTATTATTTCGCCGAATATACCCTGCAGAAAAAAATTATTAATTGATAAAAAATAACCCATTTGTAGTTAGCCTTTTTGCGGGATTTCTATAAAATACATGAAGTTAACTACAAAAAGATTTAGATATCCTCATACAAATTTTACTTGAATACACTTTCTTCCTGCACTTTGCGAATACTTTTTCGAATTGAGAACAAACAAAAGGAAAATCGAAATTTTATATTTTCATCTCAAAGTTATGTTCGAATATGGGACCACCTACAGCAGAATATGTAAGCAAACATGTAATGTAATAAACTAAAGTAAATAAGTAAAAAAGTAAAAAAAAATATATTGTGTTTTTATAATTGATAATTCATGTCCAAAACTGATTAGTTACTTCGCGGCCATCGCCATAGAAATATGGTTAGCTTTCCTCAAAGAAAATAT